CTAAGGTTTATTTATTTTTCTATTAAATTTCAGGCGGACCTTGGAATCAAATCAGTCAATCAGTGTTCAGCTGTCGTGCAGCAAAAAAGCGTTTTTAACAAACTGAACGAACCTCAATCAAGCGTTATTCTTCCTGCACCTCCTGCCCCTCCCCCTCCTCCGCGCGGCGCATACCCTACCAGGGTGTTTACAAACCATGCCATGCGAAACAGCGGGCGCTTGGGTGGCGAAGATCTGTTCGAGAAACTTACTCGCTCTTTGCAGACGGCTAGTCTGCACCCTGTTGAACCATGTTATTCTAAAGATTCACCGTCAAAGTTTGATGTTGTGGACCTGAAAACTCCTTCGCCTGCTACCATGATTGACCATTTGCAACAGCTATCTCCTCATAATCCTCACCTGGCAGCGAACACAGCCGTTCAGATGGCGGAGGTAATTTTAATGTTTCAGTGGCGGTACTGGTCAATCATCTGAATGACCATATTGCATGAGTTGTTTATGAATAAAACGTCGTTTGGGCTGTCTGACGCTTTCATGACAGTTTGTTTTGTTAAGCAGTAGGTAAGAATAGTAAGAATGTGTTTATTTCATTGTTGTTAAGTTTTTATTTATTTATTATAATCAGGAATTCATTGACGACCTTCGCACACCATACAAGGGTCTTAGCTGTAGTCGGGTATGATTAGTGCATCTTGCAGACAGACAATGACAAAAATAATTAAATATGTCTGATCCATTTTCTAAAGCATCAGGCCCGTGTCGGATTGGGAACAGTGACCAAAGCTTGCAGTGGTATAATGACGAAGCGTGGTGATAGCAATGCCCATGCGGAATCATGGACAGTTAGGTTGTAGGCTTTGGTAGCCAGGTTGATTATTTTTATGCTTTCGTTTGAAGTTTTGTCTAGAAAAAGGACATTCCGTTTTCGGAGTTTCCGACACACTAAACTCGGGCTGAAGGGTTATGATAAACACTGATAAGCAAGACGGCCGCGAGGTATTTTTGTACTCATGGCTTATACCTGGAAGCGAAGTTAAATGCTCTTCCTTTAGTTTTTCTTTTTACTTGTTTACGGATTGCCCCCTGCTGCAATTATTGGTACGTTGTCAGGAGTTTCAAGGCAGTTACGTCGTGAAGCGCCCG